AAACGAAAAACTAACAAAGTTAACTGTACATTAATGTGAGAGGTTAGAATATGCTTCTTGCCACCTTTCAGTCTTGAGAAACTGAAACCCCAAGGCAGAAGTACTGTAAAATCACTTGCTCCTACTGGACCATCACCTTAGTCCTTAAGTAAAAACTCAATCTGTCAACGTTCCTATGGGCACTATAGCTCTGCCTTCTAGCAAAATCCCCAGTGAGCTGACAAATTCTGAGCTGAATCCATTAAAAAGCTGTCTGTCATGCCACTCAGGCTGTAATAATACCTGCACATTACAAGCTTAAACACAAATATTTAGCCTACACATGACATCATTTTCCTCCTCCTGGGTATAACAAACTCAGTTTCTGCTACACAGCAGTAAGGGTCCAATCATGTACAGCTGTATTACAGAGCATTCCCACTGGAAAGCGTGGAGATTTAGCAGTGAACAGTAAGCCATTCACCCAGCAGCTTTTATGACTGGGTTTTATGGCATTCAAATGGACAGAAATGGATGGAACGGCCGTCCCTGTGCAGCCCTGCCTGCTGCAGCTCCCGACCCTGGCTGCTGCTGCTTCACAAGGCAAACAGAAAAAGAAAAGGTGATCTGTCACCAGAACACTTCTTTAGGTGCTATGTAAGATGCATTAAATGCACATGGAAATATTTATTCATAAAAATGTAAGCAGTACAAAGACAGGGCTATACATTAGATTTATGTCACGCTATATGACTTTACTCATCCCTCCAGCTATTTAAGGACCTGGAAGCCATGGTCACATCCTTCTTGATGGAACCATAATTACTAATTGACTGGTAAGTTACTTTACTGATTATACCTTTTTAGGTATTTGTAAGAGAAAAGTTGCCTGGTTTGAATGAAAACGCATGTCTTTGTAAGTACCAGCAGAAGCAGCAGAACAATGAGCAAAAAGGAGGGTCTGTATGTCATAGGGGCACTGTCCCCAGCACATCATTCCCCAGCAGTGAAATTGCAGAACACGCTGTTTATATCAAGATCAAAAGGCCCGCACTCTGATAAATCAAACGACAGCAGGAAAAATGACTCATGAGACCCTGCATCCTGACATCAAAAGGATGGCGACAAAGTTGCAGCGTATTACATACACCGCTCCCCTTCCCCTAGCCCAAGAAAGGAACAGACCACATACATATATTTTTAAACATACATTTAAGTGAGGAAAAACAGACCAGACACAGCAATGTGGCCTAAGATCTATGGAGGCCAAAGACAGAAATATTCTGAAGCATAGAAAAACCCAGTAACAACTGCTGATCCCTGAAAGATCTGTCCAAAAACTAGCTCATCATCATTCACAGCTATGTGAAGATAGCAGTGTCCCTTTTTCTTTGAGTCCAGATGACTTGGACATGTCTTGGTACCAGTGACTATGAGTGAATTAAACTTACGAGAAAATGAGAGCAGGTAAAAATCAGCTGGCTTATTGACTCTGTAAACAAATTAACCTTCCCCTTCCATAATACCTAGCACTGAATTTTATTACCCTAATTTCCTAAAACGAGCAGCTGAGATACAAGCTTTGTATTTGTGAATTATATCCAGTTCATACAAGGTTCTGATGGACAACATGACATTTAGATTCTGCAAAATCTGAGCTTCAAAAAAAGAAAGGCAGTACATTGTGAGACCTTACATATGCTAAGGAGTTACTTATATGGCAGCATAAATCACTGCACGCATCTCTGGAGCAAAGAGGAAAAAGGAAGGAAAGATTTCTAAATGGGGTACTTCAAAGGCACATCAGTTGCTCACAGTAACATTTAATACTTGGGATTGCAAGGCAAATAAAGCAGATGTAATCCTTGTGGGTTTTTTTGGTTAAAAACACAAAATGAGGACGTGCCTAGGCTCCTTGTGCAAATACCTCTGAGAAGGTATCAAAATACTGTATCAAGTATCAAGGTAGAAGGTACCACAAAATTCTTGTTGCAAGTAGAGATACATCCAGCTTACAGTCCTATGGGGCCACATCAAAGCCACAGAACATGTCTGAGATTTCTTTCTCCTTCCACGAATCTGTCTTGCAGTAGGAATTGTCTTTAAGTATTCAAGTTTACCTATCAGCCTGTTAGAACAAAATTAAACAGAAAAACTACACAGAAGGGTATCTTTTTTCTTTTATTCAAATAATGTAAATTTTTTTCTTTTAAAAAAATAAATTAAGAGGTAAACACAAAACTTAAGTGCTGAGAAAAACGTGACCTAAATGGATTCTTCCATTATATATTTTGTTTAATACTCTCCGGATAATCAACTGGTAGTAATAACATTAATTAGTCTGGCCGCTATATCCACATCACTGATATTTTTATTACTTTGAATAAAGGTACCCACCACTAGAATACACCCACCACTAGAATGACAGCCATAGAAACAGAAAACAAACCCACCCCTAGAATCATGCTATATTGCAGCTAAATCCCATATTTCTTCAACAGTGTATTTATGTAGATTTATTTTACCTATTTCACACACTCATGATTTAGTTGGAACACTGTACAGATTAATAGAAAGCCTAACTAGAGTGGAGCCAAAAAATATGAGGAGGGGGAAAAAATGTTAAAAGGAAGGGGGTAAAAAAAAAATAAAACCCAGAAAGGTCAGAGTCAAGAGTTACATGTACCTAGGCAAATAAAGAGTTCTGAAATAATTCTCAGAAACTATCTGGAGAAAGTACTTTGTACGAGATAACATGCACCGAACTAAAGGTCACAGCAAAGATGAGAAAGGCAGCTTTCCCAGAAGCTGAAAGAAGAGAAGTTATGCTCTGGTACTCTTTCCATTGTCTCAGCCTTTCCAGTACTAAAGTATGTAACAAGCCAAACACAATGCTCTCTGAAATTACCTTCCAAGGAGGACATAAAAGCCTCGCCTGCCCTTAATACCAACCACGTGACTCAAGTCAGCAACAGTTTCGTGGACTCTGACAGGACTCCTCTAGTGAACTGAGATGTGGTGTGTGAAGGCCCCACCCTTACTTAATTGACATCTCTGACGCAGGATATGATCTCTGCAGGAGAATCAGAAGAAAAATTCATGTCTAAGCCTCAACTGTTCCAGCTCATACGTCCAGTGTTTCAGTGTGTGTGTGTACCTTTACTGCACCTTCTTAAATCTCTGCAAATAGATTCACTGAAAAGTGATCTATCAGGGATACAACAAAACCAGTTTCCCATCATTCCATCCTGGCTTGTGGCAGGAAAAACAGAATTAGGCATTCTTGCTTTCTTGTCCCCACGAAACTTTTCAAGGTAGGTTTACAAATGCTTGCTGAATTGGACATGAAACACTGCAAGAACATCTGTGTCTGCACTTGGAAGCTTATTTGCTCAAAAAAACCCCAAAACAAAACCCCATTACAAAAACCAACCAACCAAAACAAACAAAAAACCCCCCCCTGCCACCAAATTCCAGGAAATACATTTGTGGCTAGTGAGCAGCACAGCAAAATTAAAGGCTCTATAGAGTTGTATTTCTTTTTATCCTAAGAACTTAAGTCTCAGCCTGTAATCCTAAACTTTAGTCCCAAATGTGTTATCTTCCAAAATTCATTTAAATTGTACATTTGAGCTCCATCAAACATCTGCAAAGTTAAAATTTTCGCTGTATGTTTATTCTTAGTGACCAAAATTATTTTATTCCCAAGAGCTGGTAATTTAGAGCATTATTATTATTACAACTGACAAGCAGTCCCTAAAGAATCCTGGTGATATGCCACATTAGACTACTTTTGATAAAAGTAGCAGGAGCAATTGGTTAGGAATAGAAAAAAGCAGTAGAAAAAATCATTTCAGAATAACAACGTGAAATTGTCTTTTGAATAAATAATAGGTGAATATTTGTATTTGCTCACTTTCTTTTTGCTGAATTCATCGTTAGACCTGAATTTGTCTGAAGAATTTCTCATCAATCCATGTGTCAGTCTCAGAATGTGTCACTATTCACTGAAAGATATTAGACTCTCTGGAGAGAATTTTGGCCTTAACAATCAGATTAGACAACTCTTTTCACAGCCACTGTAATGACAGCTGCATTAATTTCCCTCATATACCAGACTCAAAGTCAGAGGCAAATTCTCAGTTTGCAAGCCAGAACATGTTCTGCTGGATATTTACAGCCAACTGTTGAAATCCCCAAAATCTGTCAATGATGTCAAACAGGACAGAAATAGATCATCTTGCTTGTTTTTCCTAAGTTTGCATTCATAAAAGAAACAGGAACAGAAACCTTGAAGAAAAAAGAATTCTCTTTTATTACACCCACTATGAAAGCATTAAACCACTCAACTTTTCTTGGAAGAACCGCTTCAGGAAAAGGAATCATATTTGTGTCTCTATCTTCATGGTTTATCTCTCCACTTAAATTTTCAGCAACAAAACCAATTTTTTCTTTTAATTCCAAAGTCCTTTTTTTTTTTTTTTTTTTTTTTAAACAAGAGACACATTGATAACAGCAGGACCTATAGGGAGGTTCATCATGCCATTTCACACACCACAAAGTAGGAGAATGATGTTTGTAAATGTCAGTCCCTAACACAGGGTGAAGGGGCTCAAATTTAACCACCATAAACATGCATTACTTCTATGGAACCTTACAGCAACCCACTTACCAGATGGCTTGCAGGACAAAACCAGGAAAAAAAATCAAAATGAGGAAACTATTTTCAGCCTCATTCTTTATTACTGAAGATTTTATTGACTGATAAAAGTAAGGATAGGCATCAGATTTGGTAGGAAGGTCCTTTCAGAAAGGACCATAAAAATTGAACTGCATGACTCCAGAGAGCACAACAGGGAAAATTTGGTTTCAGGAGATCTAAAGTCTAAGTAATCCCTCTACTTTGCCTGTTTGCCAGCAATGCTGTTCATGCCCTACCGAATAATTTTTCTGATCTCCAACTCAGCAACAAAATAAGAAGTAGAGCTTTAATCAGGAATGAACAAAATAAGGATACTTACGCTGACCCCACCGGCCTGTTCTTGGATTCAAATAATTTGGGTAAAGTCCATTAGGACGATCCATTTTTTGGAGTAACTTCCGAATGTGCATGACCTAAATTAAATCAAGAATCAGGATCACCACTAACAACATTCATCTGTTCTCTGTACAGAGTTAAATCTAATCTCTCTTCTTTTTTTAAGTAGTAAGTTTTCTTAACCTGAACCCAGAAGCTTTCTCGAGGGCTTCCTGAAGATTAGTATGTTTTTGCTTTTAGAGGACTGCTCACGTAAACATGTTTAAAAATTATGATTTTTAAATGTATGCTGAAACAAATAAGAATATTTGTCATAAACTTCTACTTGAGAAAGTCATCTATTTGGTAACAGAAATACAAGTATGAAAAAATGTATCTGCTACCAAGAATGCAAATTGAATGCAATGTAGAAAGTACTTCCCCTTTAATGCAATTTATGATGAAACAGTATAAAAAGACACTTGTATGATAAAAAACTGAATTTGAGACCCACCTTGTTGTAGTATACAGGGTCCCCTGTCAAATAGCTGAGGTGGACAAATTCCATGTGCAGAGTACCAAACTCAGCAAGGATGCTGCTGCCAGCAGAAGCCCAGCCCCAGTTTCGACCCACACCACTGAGTTCCAACAAATATGCATAAAAAAGGGAGAAAAGAACAAAAAAATCAGAATTACTGTGCACAGCACTAGTAACAACCACCGTAGCAAATTAAACAAGTAACAGCAAAATATTAACCCACACTTAAGATTACAGGAGTTGTGGTTTGATCGATTGGTTGGTTCACTGGTTGGGTCTTTTTGGAAAAAAGATACCATAACCTCATCAACAAAAAGTCTTGTGATTAAAAGATATAATATCTTGATGTCACAGAAATATAACGTCCTAACACTGGGCCCAATCCTGATTCTTATTTATGTTTACATTATTGCATGTGCTTAAGAACTAGAATCAAACAAAATCACTTATCAGATGAGACAAGTATACTTCCAAAGGTGGCAGCATTTGCTTCCTTGTGCTGTCAAACATCTGGGGTGCTCCCTTTGCTTGCATGGGATGTGCTTCAAGTCAGTATGAGACACTCCAGCAAGATGGGAGTGGGCCCTATCTGTAGCTACACAGGAGAACAGTATGCTTACTGTAGGCAGACTAGTGTGAGTTCCTCAGGCTCACAAAGAATCAACAGAAAGTATCACAGACCACATCCTTTTGTACTCTAAGAGATACCGTCTTGCTAAGTCGTAACTCCTAAGTTACCTCTGTTTTAAGCTAACACAGGAGTTTTCACCACCTTCCAGGAACAGGTCTTCTAGTTTCTAAGTTAACTACATTTTCCTGGAAATTACTTCTACTTCCTCTCATAAAAGAGCTCAGTTATCAGTAAAACTACAATCAATTAGGAATGCCTTCTTACTTATTTTTTAAACTATAAATCAGAAAAAGGAAATGTAAAGGAAAAATGTTGGTTACAGAGCAGTAATTGTAGCTCTGACCTGAGACAGAACACCTTTTAAAATAGAGTAACCAGTGTTTACAGATTGTAGAGAGACAAAATCATAGCTTGTCTTGGGTTTTTTTTTTTTTTATGTACAGCTCTCATAAAAACAGAAAATTAAGTGTTTCATTATCAATACAAAACCTAATAAAACACAAATCGATAATTTTCCAAATATTTCTTTCAGGCCTTGTCTTTTAGTGCCTGTCAGCCTCATGATAAGTGTTATATATGCCTGCTACTGTCACTGCCCCCCCGGCATGCCAGCCACTGTATTTTCTGTGGTGGCTTCTGTACATTACCAAGAGACTGACACAGTAAAGTAAAATGCATAAACAACAACAGCAGCACACAAGAAATTTCTGGTGCTTCAACCCTTTCTCCTCCGCCTACTGCAAATCCTCTTCCCTGGTCCTGACTTCCTGACTGTGCTCCGATACCCGACCTATGCAATCAGCTTCCGTGTTTTACTGGCAAGTATCCATGCATCTACCACTTGCAGCTTCTTAAACCTCACCATCTAGGTTGCTCAAGCCAGTGAACCAGATGCCTGTGCTGCCTGAGGAGTTACGGCCACCTGGGCCATTCAAACATACTGGAATCACAGCGCAGGCTTGGGCTAAACAAAGCAAAAATAAAAACCTAACTTATGCACAGAGGAACTGCAAGCCCTATAAAACTGCAGGAAGAACACAAGACCAAGTAAACCGTAATGCCATGCGGAAAGCCTGCAGGGAAATTTAACGCAACAATATTAATTGTACAGAAGTCAAATAAACAGGGAAAGTGCAGCACAGGCAAAGCAGAGAAAAAGGCACAGCTGGTGCCCACAGGCACCCTGAGCCAACAGAAGGGCAAACCACAGCCTTCACCCGAGAAGTGACAGCAAAGTGAGGATCATTTCCTGATCACAAAGCACCACGTAAGGCTAATGCTCTCAAAGTAGTCCTAAACCTCTTCACAGTCTAACGAAGCACAAGTATCTCTCCTAAAAGGAAAACAATTTAAAACAATTCAAAACCTCTCTGCTATTTAATATCCCGAAACTTAAGTGCACATGTGATCTAGACATGCATCCCAATCCAGCTACTGTTTAAGAACATAATAAAAATTTCAAAAATACCTTGCATCAAAAGCGCGCTCTCAAAATCTGAGGGAAATCCCAGCATTGAACAATCAACACAAGATAAATTAAGCAAGGCAATTCTCTTCCACAAAGCAATCCAGACCATCTAAGTTCAGTGTCTGACCTGATCTAAAGGAGCCTCGGAGCCATCTCCATGGACCATAGCAGACTTAACACACTAGCCTTTAGACCTAAGCTGAACTGTAAAATGAATTAACATCTTCCAAGTCCGACCATCTTCTAAAACATTGTGAGTCTTCTGAAGGTTACACACAGCTCACATGGTACATAAAACCCAGTAAGTTCAAGCATGCCCTGCAAACAATTTTCTTTAATGACTAAAGAACCAATGATTAAGGTCTAGGGCAACACATGGCATAATACACTGGCATATTCCACTGGCATGTTGAATTTTTATTGCAGAATCAGGAGAAAAAAAATCATGGTCACAATTTGTTGCAGTTAATGAGGCAGAATGCTCTGAACTCTATTAAAATTATTCTAAAGTGCCAGGAATGCTGATTTGTCCACATCTGCTACAGTTCCACTACTAGGAAAAACTGACGTGCCATTACTAATTTTAAGTTGGGAGGGGAGGGAGGAACACACTTCCCCACAGAAGAAAATTCATTACCTTTTCAGATTCACCATTGCCCATGGTATACCCGTAGGTGTGTTGAAGGCTGGAAGAAGTTTTCCTGCCAGTTGGACTGCCTTGATCTTGAAAACCTAAGATAGTAGGATCAATTGCAAATAGTTACAAAGTCTGATTATCTCCAAGAACTACAAAGACTGAAATTTTCTTGCCCCACCCACCACTTTGTATTAGAAAAGCTTTACATTGTAAAAAAAGTATTAACTTATCATTTATTTTTCACTTGTTCACTTTATAAATTTCATTAAGATTTGTACGTGAAAAGAAAACTTGTAATTTTCATTTCTTTTCTCTCATGCTCTCCAGCAATAGTACTTAGGCTCCTATCAAAGAAGAATATAAATTCTCCTCCCACGTCCCTCCACCAATATTAGGAATTTCAAGCGCTTTCTAAAGCAGTCTTTAAACCATACTTTATATTTTGGAGCTAAAAAAATCAAGAGACAACTCCCCCATCCCCCAGACAAGTATTTTAACTTTCACAAATTTCTAATCTCTTTTTAACGAGAGATATATATAGAGAGAGAGAGTGCAGACAGAATTCCTATTCTTTTATGAACACTGCCTATATAAAACCATATATACGCAGTTTCCTGTAGCTTTTCCTCATTGATAATGCATAAGCAAAGTAATTATAGATTTAATCTTCCTGCTCAAGTCTGATTACTCATAGAAATCACTGACAGGACAAAGTATCTTTGATTTCTAGTTCCTACTTACTTTTGGAACATAAATCTGTAATACCCTTATTCAGAGCCTAACGTTTGTTAGTTAAATGAGCAACTGGGAGAAAGTTCCTTATACACCTATAAGAAGCATCTTTTACAAGAAGTCATATTTGGTAGATCCCTATGACATAAAACTGGTTTTACCAGCTAGTTGCTAAAATACATTTTAATTAACTCATTGTCAGCATTCATTACATTGGTGCAAAAGTATCTTCTTAATTTGGAGATAACATCATTCATCTGTTTGAAGCGCTGTACAAACTTGTAACAAAAAGAGCTACCATGCCCCAAAATAACTTACGCAACATGGACATACTACAGAAACATTATTATTGACTACCTGACCAATACTCTGTAATCAAGAGAAATAAGAGCTTTAAGAAGGACCACAAGACAGCTCTGTTAGACATATAAAAATAATTTCTCCCTTTTGTAAAGACTATGGGAGGAAAACAGAAGAGATGCTCACTGGAGAAGCAAGCTGAAAAGTAGCTGAAAAACAAGCAATCAAGAACATCCTCATTTTTCATATGAAGGTGGGAAAAGATCAATATCTTAATATTTGAGGAAATGACTAGCAAGACATGAAATAAAACAGAAAAGAGTATTAAAGATGACATCTAATTGTATTTGAGGCAGTGGAGTATGGAGAGGTGGAGGTGGATCTGAAAGCAATGAGCCAGGAAAAAAGAACTTTTACCCAAGTACTCTAAATGAATCGTAAGATGGGATGTGTCTAAACTGAAAAAGAGAATACTTCAGAATATGACTTGAAAGGATTGTGAAGTAACAGAGCAATGTGGCTTGAATGATTTTTAGCAAAGATACTGACAAGAGACAATCTTTGAGAAAATATGCCAAAATTAATCAGTAAAGTCAGAAACACTCTGACCTTGAGTAAAGGACTAAGTAAAAATATGAAGGCATAGTATAAATAAGAGGTATAATACAGGTGGAATCTATGGCAATTGGGGAAAAAGAAACCCTGAAGAGAACTAAAAGCTCTATCTTGGCCCAGTTACATATAAAGTACCTGATTTGCATCTATAAATACATGTCAGAAATTCGTGCTGAACTTTCAGATTTTTAAGTAGTAGATGGGTCAAGACCAGGCGGAACTATCTATAGGGAATCATCTAAAGGGAGTTCCTCTACAGCGCAGACAAGCTTCAACACCTAATCCAGAAAAGAATGATACTTCCAGTTAAAGAGTACATAGTTCAGAAAGACATCTGTGGCATGAATTTGTTTAGCTTCAGCTTTTGGATCTTGCACCCTCTGGAAGTGCTATGCATTGTCTTATTCATTAATAAAAGATATTGAAGCCCTATGGTAAGGATATTCAATGGCAGAACAACCCTAGAAACATCCTCACTAGAAGAATATTCTTAATGGCTAACTACTTATGTACCACTATCCAGCTTTTAATCAATTTGAAACGTACTATGATGATTTGGGGAACAAACTATAGTATGAAGTAAAGGTTGAGCTGATCCAAACGTGCACAAATCTCAACAAGGACAGTTAAAGCAAGGCAATCACTGCACCAGCCATTTCAGCATGTGAGCAAACCAGAGCATCAGGGCAGCAGCAGTACCTGCTTGTTCAGACAACCGTGTTAAAATAGAATAGGCTATTTCAGCTGGAAGGGACCTACAGTGATCGTTTAGTCCAACTGTCAATGTTAGCAGAACCTGCAAGAACTTGCTGTGATTAGAGGCACCCTCCTGTCACCTCTGTTGAGGACTCCACATACCACTGATTTAGCATCAGAAGGTAAAACTACCTCTCTACATCCCTCTCGTTCAAGACTGAATCCAAGGAAGCAAAAAACTGGCTGAAGTCATGCCTTTACTTTCTACCGCTGCCATCTCAGTTGTATCTCACTGCTGCTTCTGGATAACAAAACCACCTGGTGCATGGTGCACTGGAGTGAGAACTGAGACACAGCTGCATAGGTTCTTCTCAGAGCAAAGTGACCAGAACAGCATATACTTTAATGGGAGACTGCAGATGTGACCAGAGTGCTCTGCTGAGCTCATTAACTAAGTTCCAGACTTACTGTAAGAGCAACAGTAAATGCCTTAGGCTCTAGCTTTTAAATAATGTGCTGGCATCAGACAACATGGTTACTTATCATACAGTAAGTAGTTTTATTTTTTTTAAAACAGGTTAAACTGATAGAATCTATTTCAGCCTTGGCAGTTCCCTGTTGACAGGCAATGCGTTTCAAGAAACATACAGGCAAGAGGAACAAAAAAATGAATGGATGCCTTGAAAATAGAGCTCATTAAGGAAACAGTAAGAGGATTTGGGTTATTTAGTCCGGAGAAAAGATGTTCAAGAGAGGACAAAATGATGACTTTTCAGTATATAAAAGGCTAATACAAGGAAAAGGAAATAATTTTTTCCGTGGACACGTAGAATACAAAATGAAGCAAGGGAAAGTAAGTTAGTTATTAGGAAAAAGTTGGTGATAAGGATAACAATGAAACATGACTGTGACTGCTGCACAATAATCCCTACAGCTTTTAAAATCGCAATGTATGACATCTGCAACTACGAAGACTGATGCAAGACTGATGTGATTGGACTCTGCCAGGGAACAGAAGAAAACAGAGAACTACGCAGCTTCCTTGCCACTCTTCCTGCAATACTGCCAACCAATCAAATGCCTTGTGCACATTCTGTACATGTAAGAGGAAAGTGGTTTGTCTCTCTTGGGGCCTTGTACCTACTCTGTAAATCCACAGAGCACCTTTGTTATTGGTGCAAGTATCATGGAGACCATCCATCCCCAAGGTTCTCTGTGTGGTGGGTTGACCCTGGCTGGACACCAGGTGCCCACAAAAGCTGCTCTATCACTCCCCCTCCTCAACTGGACAGAGGAGAGAAAATATACTAAAAGCTTGTGGGTTGAGATAAGGACAAGGAGAGATCACTTGGCAATTACCATCACGGGCAAAATAGACTCGACTTGACGAAATCAGTTTAATTTATTACCAATCAAATGAGAGTAGGATAATGAGAAATAAAAACTAAATCTTAAAACACCTTCCCCTCACCCCTCCTTTCTTCCCGGGCTTAACTTTACTCCCGATTTCCCTAACTCCTCCCCTCGAGTGGCACAGGGGGACAGAAATGGGGGTTAGGGTCAGTTCATCACAGCTGCTCCTTCCTCCTCAGGGGAAGACTCCTCACACTCTGCCCCTGCTCCAGTGTGGGGTACCTCCCATGGCAGACAGTCCTCCATGGGTTCTTCACACACTGCTCCAGCGTGGGTCCCTCCCTCCCACAGGGTGCAGTCCTTCAGGCACAGACTGCTCCGGCATGGGTTCCCCACAGGGTCACCATCCCGGCCAGCAAACCTGCTCCAGCCTGGGGTCCTCTCTGTACAGGGCCACAGGTCCTGCCAGGAACCTGCTCCAGCAGTGGCTTCCCATGGGGTCACAGTCTCCTTTGGGCACATCCACCTGCTCCACTGTGGGTTCCTCCATGGGCTGCAGGTGGAGATCTGCTCCCCCATGGGCCTCCATGGGCTGCAGGGGGACAGCCTGCCCCACCAGGGGCTGCACCAGGGGCTGCAGGGGAACCTCTGCTCTGGCGCCTGGAGCCCCTTCTGCTGCACTGGCCTGGGAATCTGCAGGACTGCTCCTCTCAGATACTCACTTCTCTCTTAGCTGCAGTTGCGCAGTTTCTTCCCCCTCCTTAAATACATTATCACAGAGGCGCTACCACTGTTGCTGTGGGGCTCAGCCTTGGCCAGTGGTGGGTCCATCTTAGGGCTGGCTGGCACTGGCTCTGTCGGGCACAGGGGAAGCTTCTGGCAACTTTTCACAGAAGCTGCCCTGTAGCTCCCCTCCTTCCCCACGCTACCAAAACCTTGCCACACAAACCCAATACACTTTGCTATCATAAGCTCCAAAGTATAAGACCCTATAACAGACAGGAAGTCACAGAAACCACAAAGCAACAGTTCTCAAAGAAGTGCTGTTCCTGCAGGATAACTCAATCTTTTTTTGAATGTGCATTCACACTTACATTAATTACAGAATTTAGCATGTAGTGGCCTTAAGATGTGGAGAAGACTGATCAGACTCCTTTTAAAGTAAAGACCCCACAGCAGCTCTAGCAAGACATCCTATTTTTAAGATGCAAAAATACTGTTCTAGGTAAACATATGTATTAATCCCAGGATAGCCTTCTGTCCACTCTCAAGATATGGACATTTTTCAGAAAAGTTTCAGAAGCCACCACAGACCTGGAGAAGTATTTCCATTTTACATGGCAAAATCTAATACACTAAATGCATCAATTTACATGGTCTTTGGTAGGCTAATGCTTCT